TACTATGATTTCACTGTTTTCATGATCTGCTCAAAAACGGCACCCCGTTTAGCTTGTGAAATCGAGAAGTGCTTATCTGATTCAAACCTGGTATCCGCGTGTTGGAACTGTGGTGCTGCTAAGTATTTATGCAATTCCACGGTATAATAAGTTAAAATTGTTAGAAAGTAACTGTTGAGAGTAGCTTGGTATAAGCTGCGACCTTGACAAACGCACACGCTAGGTCTACTCCAGGCGTAAAGAAAGCCTTCATGCCTATAGATTGTGAATGTTATGTTGAAAAAAGAAAAACACAGGATCAGAGTGCTATTTAGACAGAAGCCCTTAGAAATGCTTGACGGTTTGTAGGGGAACAGATGGAGGTATGGTAAATCAGTAGATAAAACTCAGGCTTGCGGCTATTTTTGAAGAATTTATGGTTAAGGAGTCTTCAGACAAGAGAATATAGTGCTAAAGGACGGTGAGTTATACATGACCTCCCACTACCTCGCATCTCAGATTCAGGTATAAAGAAAACCAACCACAGAACGTGTGACTCGACATCATTTGTCGCTTGTAATGGTTCACTCAAAAGTGACACTTTTTTCGTGCACTTATTAAAATTTCGATAATTCAATGAGAAGACGAAGTTTATCAGAATTATGTGATATATTTGCGCATTACATTTCGAACAATCTCATCACACATATACTGAAGAACATTTATATATGAAAATTATAAGGTCGACTAGATAGGTTAAGAGTAAGTCATAACAAAGGAAAAATATTAAATTACACAAAAACAGATGTGATTACCATTCTGTATAACAAATCAGTAATACTAGGGTAGGTCAGGTGTAAGGACGAACTGTTTTTGACTCGTTAAGTGGGTTTTAGTTTCCGTATAACCAAGGCTTCAATAAACCTTAGTATAAGTCCTTGAAGGCTTTCGTATAACACTAGAAATGCTGATTTGACGTCAATCTTATGACCCGTCTCAATCGAGTGCTTTGCAATGGAGGGTGATGTCTGTCTATTACTATCAGAAACTGTGGCTGACCTCAAGGACTCAATCAACACCAAAGCTGATATCATGTATCACGGTCCTCAGATAATAAGCACATCTGATAGCAATAAACAATCCCTAACGAAGACCCCGATTACCCCGATTATATTTTTTTATAAATACATGTTTCAGATCTATCTTAGCTGTACAGTGGTTGACGTACTATCCGGATTGATCTTGCCTGTAAACTGGCATGCCTCATGTAACAAACTGTTATTTGAGAATAAATTATTATTATTATTATTATTATTAACCTTTACATTGTTTCATACTACCAGCTATAATGATGTGTTTACATCATTATTGTATTCTATAGGCATCAGGCGAGGTTAAACGTCTTTGAGGTTTATTGGGCATCGATCAAAAGACTAAACTGCGATTGTCAGGACTTAGCTGATTAGATGATGAAGTGTTGAGAGTAGTAGTGGATAAAGAATTCGTTATGAGGTAAAAAAACGTGCGGCCACAAACAAAAAGAAGTGAAGTGTGATAAACATATTGCACTAAGGGTTTCTAGTCGATTGCTAAAGTGAAGTGTTAATGAAAATATTATCCGAATACGGTGACTTAATGAAGTGTTTGACATAAAGAGGCAATGTTTCTAACAACTTGAACTTGCCTATAAGTGGGCATGCCTCACGCAACTTACGGTTATTGAAAAATTGGTATTCCCATACACTGTTAAATTCGTGTAAAGAAATAGAGATAAATAAAGGTAAAGACCACGCTGATTGTATTTAGGTTATATCCTATGTTCCTCATCACGCCGATTTAAAAGAGATATTAATGGGTTTCCAAGGGTAGCAAAAACGACTCCATTGGGTCTACAATCTAAACAAATGGGTATGTGGAAAAAACACCAAAATAGAAGGCAACAAGAAGTTATAGCAAATCAGTCTAATGTACTATTACATATTCGTAAATTTGTTTTTTGGGGGTTCCTCAAATAACATTGGACTACTAACAATCAAGGAGTAAAACAAACTGCTACGATCCGGGGAAGGTTAACGAACTTCTAGTCTGTATGTTTAGATTCGAAACTTAATGCTGAGACTAAGCTCCAATAAGCATTTTCGGAAGATAAATTATGTCACGGATACTCAGATCTTGATAACGTCACCGTTCGTGGCTTCTTTTTATTCCAGGCTCCAAAACTCAGTCAGATCAAAAGTGAGGAATGAGTGAGGTTTGTAGGTATGTATAAAAGTGATCAATGAGTGGAGAAGAAAATGAACAGTCTAAATGTTGCGGGGGCTGTACGGTTCAGCCTACCAAGACGTGATCAGTTGCAGATGTTTGACCAAGCGTTTTCAGCTAAGCTTGTTTCCAGTAGAACAAATGACGGGAGAATAAATATCGAAGACTTACGGAATTCTTTATTCTAAGGACTTAAGCAGTTTCAACACTTGGTCACAAAGTGCTCGATGTCTAATACTGGGGGACTTTAATGCACCCATGGTAAACTGAGTAAATCTGCGGACTGAATCGTCAGAAAATTTCTTCGAGCAGGAACTAGTTGATGCGGTTATCACATATGCCCTAGTGCAACATGTGCAAGAAGCGACAAGGTACGACCCGGACACTGAATCATCCTTACAAGGTCTCACACTGACTCACTACGAGGATGACGTCACGAACCTCCATTACATGCCACCCCTAGGTAAATGTGATCACGCAGTTTTAATTTTCGACTTCCATATAACTGTCAGTCACGAGCACGCATCAGCCCAATCCAGACCTAACGTCTGGAAAGCAAATATACCAGACATCATGCACTCAGCATCGTTAATAGATTGGACAATAGACCGAGAGTCCTGCATTGAAACGGCCTGGGACGCATTTCGAAATTCATACGTAAAGGTTACCACACCCCACATCCCTTGGATTATACCAAAGGGGCCGAGAAACTTTCGACCATGGTTCAGTAGGGAGGTTCGCATCCTTCTCCGCAAGAGAAGAAAAATATGGGATGGATTTGGGTTACTGGGGACCGATGAGACAAAATCTCAGTATCAAAAAGCTCGGAATACTTGTGCCCTGACCCTTCGTAATTCTAAAAGTTGTACGGAGAAAAGATTGTTAAGGAATCCATAGAATGCCCTAAACGTTTGTATTCTTGTATAAACCAAAGTACAAAGAGAAGAGGAAATATTCCTGCTCTATGGGGAGACAGTACTGCCGCATCATTAGTTGAGGACGACTTTGGTAAGGCTCAAGTGTTCTCGAACTACTTTAGCAATGTATATACCATAGAAGCGCCCTTCCTGTCAGTTCATACAGATCCCCCACACATACACTGGATAGCGTGACCATTAAAGAACTCGATGTCTTTGGTCTACTAAATAAGCTTGACATAGGTAAATCCACGGGGCCCGATGAATTACATCCTAGGCTACTGAAGGAACTATCTAACTTCGTTGCAAACCCCTTAAGTATATGCTTTAATCTATCCGTAACGCAGGGTCGTTTACCAAAAGACTGGAAGGACGCCATGGTAAGTCCTGTCTTCAAAACAGGCACGAAACACAAACCTGAGAACTACCGCCCCGTTAGCGGTAGGAGGAAGGAACTGTCTAAGTATCTCGATAAAGACCGGATCCTTTTGGAGAAGCAGCACGGTTTCAGAATAGGTTACTCTTGTCTCATTAACTTATTAGTGGCTCGTGAAAGCTGGTGCGCTCTTAAAGACTAAAAGCTACCTGTAGACGTCGCCTTCATTGATTTCAGCACAGCTTTTGACAAAGTTCCGCACAACCAGCTGTTATATAAGTTGAGAAATGTCGGGATTAGAGGCAATCTATTTACGTGGATAAAAGACTTCTTAGTTGGGCGTCAACAAAGAGTACGTGTGAACTCAAAGTTATCTAGCTGGGGAACTGTGTTTAGTGGAGTGCCTCAGGGTACAGTTTGGGGCCAGTGCGATTCCTCTTGTATGTAAATGATCTTCCTTGTCTCCTATCATCATCGGTCTTGCTGTATGCTGACTATGTCAAGATATGGAAAACGATACGATGTAAGAGTGATAGCTTAGAACTTCAAAATGACCTGAAGAAGTTATCTGAATGGTCTCAAACATGGCAGTTGCCGATAAATACTTCCAAGTGTGTTGTGATGCATATCGGTCATCAAGGCACAGATACATACACGATGAATAACACTGAGCTACCTGTCGTCCAGACATATAATGACTTAGGAGTTATCGTTAGTCAAGACTTAAAGACTACTGCACACTGCCGTGCAATAGCCGCCAAAGGTTTTAGAACGTTATGGTCAATACGTATGGCTTTTAGTCATGTCGACGCTAAAACGTTTTTGACTTTGTATACAGTGTTCGTTCGTCCTAAACTTGAGTACTGCATACAAGCGGCTAGCCCCTGCTTAAAAAAAGACAGTGAGCTCCTGGAAAAGGTTCAGAGAACGGCGACTAAGCTGGTTTTCGGAATAGCGAAGCTTCCGTATGAATCTCGACTGGCCAAGCTGAACCCTTTCCCGTTGTCATATCGCAGAACTAGAGGCGACTTGATTACAGTCTACAAATTGCTTAGTGATAAATTCGCACCTAACATGCCCTCATTTTTCTTGTCTTCCAAAACAGAGAATTTACGAGGACACTCCAAAGAAGTTCACAAGCCGAGAACAAATTACTTGTCAGCTGACTATCGATTTTCCCATCGAATCATCAACAAGTGGAACTGCTTGCCTCAGCACGTGTTTTAGGCACGATCCGTCGACTCTTTCAAAAGAAAGTTGGATCAACTGAGAGACCACCATTGCCAGGACTAACACAGGCCATCAAGCCTCCTGTCCTTTCCAAACTGAAACTGATTTATCGCCACTGGATGTTAAAAAGACATTTAAGATTTCCTATAAGTCTCGTGTTCTATAAGACAAAAAATGTGATTGTACCAAACAAATGGTTCATTATAAGTGAGGTTTGTAGTGACCTTCGAGATGAATTTTGTTATAATGCATAGGAGCTCAAAGGGAGTGATTTAGCTCAGTTTTCATCCTAGTGTTTTGTTTACGTGGGAGAGGTGGCTTCATGTCCCTTTCACCGTTGAGATCCGTTCTCAGTAACTTTCGAAAGCCTGCGTTAGCTTCTCAGTCATGTATCAGCCAATGTCAGTCCATGTTATCATCAATATCTGGCAGACAGAATCAAAATATTTCAGTTACTTCGCATGACGAACATACTAACTCTAGTAACTAACTCACCTATATTATTTATTTTGAGGTAATGACCAAACTTTTAGTTTCAGAGATTCAAAACTGGCCCATGTGGCTAAGTCAAATTCAGAAGTTATTCGTGCATTACTAGTTTTCAAAATGTGCTCCTTTCCAACACTTGTTAAGTATAACAAAAAGGTATATTGCTATTCTCACCACATTGCTTAGCTTATGGATATTTCCAGGAAAATATTTGGAAGGTCGTTGTTCCGGTTAATAATGAAGATGACATTCTATGGACATTTTGTTGCGGGTGAAAATGAAGCCAGTATTCAACCATTAATTATGCGTCTCAAGAAGTATGGAGTGAAGTCAATACTTGACTATAGTGTTGAAAAGGACATACAAGAAGATGAGGCCGTTCAGATAGTAAAGTCAGTCAGGGAAATGATATTTCTAATAATGATGTGCCGTGAATTTCGTCTCAGTTTTTGTTTTCACTACCTTAAAAATACTAAAAGATCAAAATAATCAGATTTAGAGTGAATTTTTATCTAAAAACTGGTTTAAATATTTATTTTCAAGCCTTCGTGTTCACATATCTGTATGCGTTTAGTGTTTCGACCAACAAATATTCAGCTGCATTTATTCGCTCTTACAGTAGGATTCTTCACATTCTCTATGTCGTTTACTTAAGGGTTTAGATGACGCATATTGGTTTGATTGGTATTAAAATACTTCAAACCTGGAACACTGATATTAAAAACGATCGCAAGCTTTTGTACGGTTGTTAGCAGAGTACTTGATTCCCTCAGCAATATACTGAAGGTAAGGCCACTAAAAATGCCACAGATATTCAGGATTTTACATTGGATTTTCCGTGACACCTTTGTAATCGAAGGATACTAACCCAGTCAGATTGGAAGTCAGAAGTGAGTGAATGCAAAGATATATTTGAAAGGCTGTCAGTATGTTCAGAAGCGTTTGATCTTATCTGGTTAGTAGTTGTAAGGGATGCAAAACACGGCGTTCCCACTCGTGATCTGGTTCGGACGTGTGGCCGGGCGCCTCTAGCTGTGAGTGTCCAGTAAAACTATTAAGTCAACATCAATGTCGGAGACTTACAGAACTATTTATTTGGGAATTTATTTACCACTATACGTCTGTCGATATCGGTCTTCAATGTCTTTGTTTGTTCATTCTTGTTCCAGGTAGATGATTAATTGTATGCACATGAAGTAGATTTACATTGTTCCCCGGTCACTCGGATTTAGATTTTCACTAAATTTCGCAGTTTCCTTTCAATGATAAGTTGAATTATCATTATACTCACTAGTTGGTTAAGTTGATACTTTCATTTTAGAAAAAGCTTAAGTGAAGTGTTACAAACCCCCGAAAAACGACCAGAGGCAGCCACTAAACAGTATCAAATCAGTGTTCGGTTTGCCAATCGTACGAAGCAGGTTGTTGGGGCTCGCTCGTACTTTTATAAGTCTGAATATCAGTGTGACCATAATATGGAGACATTTATGAAATGTATTGATGTTTCTTCAAAATACGGTGAAGATCGTGGTTTTACTGCAATTAAACTTACAGCACTCGGACGACCCCAACTTTTGGTAAGAGTATCTTGTCATATTTAACGATTTAGCAACAAATGTCTGACTTTTTAGTGCAAATGAAACGACTGTTCTTCCTACTTACCAAAGCGGATAATGGACAGAAAGGTGGACTTGCATCGCTTGATCTAGACAATTTTCGTAAAAAACTGGAAGCATTAGGCGTGAAAATTGCATATGATGAAGAAGTTAAGTGGTTTACTTTGTTGGATGTCTCTGGAGATGGGTATGATTCTGAGTTTGTCAATAATTTCTTTAGTGTTTTAGATTTACTTGATTGGAGTCACTTAAAGGCTTTTGAATACGACCTTGCAAGTCTGTTTATTCTAAAAAATAAAAAGGTGAGGTCACTTTTATACCAAATGGTGACTAGAGAATTATAGTGGTAGCTTTATGGATATTTCTGTCAGCTACCAATCAGTCAGCTTTTTAACAAATTGTTATGAAGTTTCCAATGATTCTTCACAGTTCCATAGTTTTAATTAAGTATTAGTCACTGTAGTTTAGTACATAACTGTGTCAGTGCAAAGGCTACAGGTCTTATGGTGTATGACTAACTAATCTCAATTAAGCCGAAGTAGAAAAGATAAAGTCTGCATATGTTTTTAATAGCACAGAGCAACACCCTTTTATCAGCTTAAAATGCTCTTAGTTTTAGTTACAGTCCAAAAGATTCATCTAGATATTAATTTTTTAAATAATTATAAATTAGTTTATCAGTTGTAAATTACCATATAACCATTGTTAATAATCTAATTTTCAAGTATTTATCTTATAAAGGTCTTTCGTTGTTTCACCCTCATTCTAGACTGGTGAAGTAGAACAGCTTGTACCTACACTTACAACTGAAGGTATTGAGGAAATGCGGAATATGATAAAACGTGTCGATACTTTAGCAAACGTAAGTATTGTTTTCCAAAATTTTTCTTGTCACTACGTAGAGTACAGTCTAGCTTATAACAGAACCCTTACTAATGATGGCTTTAAGCCCTGATTTCGACAAGTACACGTTGAATGCGACAAGGTGTTACAGTAAGACATAACTTCTTATTTAGAAATCTAAAGCAAATTATCCATTCACAACTGTCTTTACCCGTATATAGTTTTAGGTTCAAATACTATCAACCGTAGTAATTTTGATCAATATAACGATGAATTATACCGGGCGACGTTTTTGCTGATAACTCTGTTTCACAGTTTATTTTACGTTTTTTACTGCTACATTGTGGTATTTATCTTCCTGAATAACATTTTGACCATATTCGTAATGAGATTCACTCGATGATTTCACCACACATGACTTTGGTCGGACACTTAAACACCATAAAGATAGGCTACTAACCTTCATGCTAAAATACTATCGCTTGCAAGAAATTACCATAATTCTCAAAAAGGACAGAAATTCAGAAACATGTTTAGAGATATAACCAATCTGTTCTGACTGTATGAGATGCCATGTTCTGCCATATTCGGACAATGAGACCCACTTGTCTTAATGATTCTCATCTGATTCGTCAAGGGGACTCAAGATACCCTGTATCTTATTATTCCCGACTAACACGATTAAACTTTCTAATACTCTAGGCCGATTGGAGGATCCTCTTGTTAGATATTAATCCTAGAAATAATGGAGTTAGCTTCAAACACTTCCATGAGCAATTACACAGCCCTATGAGTTTAAATATAGTGCTTTTATTGTACGTATGTGTAAATGATCGTCATCCATCTCCTCGTTAAATATTCTCAAATTGCTTCTCTATCAGAGAGGTCAAGTACCACTTTCAGGTCAAAGAAAGTTGACAGTACTCAGCTTCGGTACATTTGTATTTCTACACCTGATGATGGGTAGAAATATGACGGATATTGATCCATATGGCCCTAAAGCCTACTTAGCTTCCACACACTTGGATTTTCTGGTTTTCAATTAGACGTAAAATGACTGGACCCTAGGTTTATAGTGTCTTTGCTACCCAAGCTAGTTCCTAAGTGATTATTCCAAGAGGACTTTGATTTCTAACTAACTAGTATAGTCGACCTTAAAAAACAATTTGATGGTACCATCTTTGATTTCCTATCCCTACTTAGTCCCTTTTTTAGTCGAACGAAGAGTTCCCGTTAGCTGTCCTTGAAGCTCTTAGATTGAAATATCTACTCCCACTAGTTTTATTAACTTTGGTTTGTTTACAACTCTGACAACTCCAGTAAAGGTTCAAAAGGTAATCTTAATATTCTAAGTAAATTGTCATTTGAGTATTGACGAATAGATCATAGCTGTAAATAAATAAAATCGTCCGTTTGAATGTTTCGGGTGTCTGTTCTAAGAGTCGACGACCCATCATTTCTGACTATCGTGTCACTGGTTGTTGCTTTTTGGTTATTCCTCTTAAGAGCCTCAACAGCCACCAACTATTTCTTAAAGTATTTGCCTCTTACATCAATTTTGCTATTCGTCTTTCTTTGCAGACATTATATAAATGTCAAGCCAATTCTCTTTAACCTCATTGTATTCAGAGTGAGTGATCTTATATACACTTTTCCTATTACATGGTGCTTTGCTGTTCATCTTGTGGTGGTCCGATTAATTTTCTTCACATTTCTCAGTAAGGTTATTTTCGTAGCCGTAGTTCTATCAAGGTATTCCACGCAAACAAAATATCTTTCCAAGTAACTTACAACTATGACTGATTGAACAATAGTTTTTTAAAACTTGTAATTACTAGCAGATATAATAGTTCATATTCACTTTATCTTTCAGTATGCAAAATCTGTTGGAGTTCGAGTTATGGTGGATGCAGAGCAATCATATTTTCAACCTGCTATAAGAAGATTGATTATAGAAATGATGCGTCTATTTAATAAAGACAAGGCTGTAATATTTGGCACTTACCAGTGTTATCTGAAGGTTTGTTTCATGAAATTTATTTGAAATTATTCGAGTAATACGTCTGTCTTATTTTGAATTTTTTCAACAACAATTATAAGTACTTTTAATAGTGAATAATATTTTTTTGGTTCACTGTTTTAGTGTTTAGATTGTGAACACAGTCAGACCTCTAGTTATTTAATTTTGCTGTTCTCTTCACTCGCCCATTCAAGATGAATGCGGTGTTTACTATTCGTTAAGAACACACACTACTACCTTGATAAATACAAGAAAATTCCAAATATAGTTCCTTAGCGTATCGTCGATTTCCGATAAAAAACTTACCATAAGACTTCAATATTTCTAATTTTACACGTTCATCATGCAAATTAGTATCATAAGCATCATGAAGTATACTAACGATTGGCTTATTATTCCGAAATTTTATTTAATACAAGAGATCTTTTTGTTTAGGATAATTGACACGTCATCATTTCTATGATATGGAAAAGGTATCTCATTTTTTACGAAATGATCTTTAACATTACTCTCGAAATAAGATTCCCAGCCGTTGCTGCTACTTTGACGTGGTTGTCGGACTTGCCTATCATAATGAACTAGTCGAGCTATACTGGCTGAAACAATCGCTCCCCAAGGTCCTACCATACCAGACAGGTGGATTGAAGAGCGGTAAGGCTAAAACCAGCAAACCACAGGTCCGAGAGCGAAGTCGAGATATCCGTCTATCAATTAAGGGGTCACCAGGTAAGTAATAGTGAGGTTAGATGCAGATTATTAGGGAATGATGGTAAATGAGTTGATGAGGTTGTGAATCTCCATCTACTGAGGTGGTTGAGCCACGTGTTACTTTTGCCTGAATACCGATTACCACGACGCGCAATGCTTTATATCTTTCTCCCATTAATTCTTTCTTCGTGTACTATGTCCTCATATGCAATCTTTTTTATATTGTCACCACTGAATTAACTAATTCTATGAATTTAGTGTTCATCTTGTTGTGCTAATGAGATGTGGCAACTTGGGCCGATGCATATATGTGCCTGGTCTTATGCTGTAGCTAATTGACTGACGAAATAAGATTTTTTAGAAAAATATGAGGTAGTTGTTTGATTACTGACGTGATTTCACGAACGCGATATCCCAAAATCAAATCATAATTGATGACCATAATTTAGATGAAGTGTGAACACGACAGTGAAAGCTAACTGTTCGCTATCTCATAGTTCTTATTTTTTTGATTGATAGTACTATGATAATTTGTTTTTATTGAAGGGATAGCAGTAGCAAAACTCTGGCTTTTATCGTACTTAATCAATGTCATCTAGTTTCACATGTTTTTAAACTTGCTAAGGTGTAAACCATCGTTTATGGTTAGTTCAAATTCTTGAGCAGTATCAATTTGGAGGGTGATATATCTGCTTATATAGAAAGTTATAATAATTTTCACAAACTCCTTGAGTCCTATATTTCAGCATTAATCAAAGAAACGACACCATGGTTAACCTTAGCATATTATAAACCTATGAAGTGTATGACAGATCTAGTTTTATGCTCTGAAAACCTTGAAAATTAAATGTTATCAAACGAATTTATTAAGACATCTGTTAATTTCGATCTTCAAAATAATCAAAAGAGTATTTTATTAGCACTGATGTGAATACAGTAAGTATTGTCGTATTTCTTGAAACTGGGAATTAAATCTATCTTGTTTTTATTTATTAGTCCCTGTTGTATTATTGTCTTTCTTTTTTTCAAAACCATTTTCTATGTCAACTGCTTGAACTGATAAATTTTCTTTTTATCAGATTACTCAATCAACCATAAATTCTGATTACTAATGTTTTGATCGCTGAATATATTTTATAAGATACTGGGATGAATAAAGGAGACTGAACTAATCACTTCTTTATTAAGCCAATATTCAGGATTATCAGTTGTATATATATATATTTCAATAGATAAGAACCATTAGCTAAGTGACTGAGTATTTGCATATGTATTAATAAAGCTATTTATAAAATATTATGACGATTATTAAAACTGATGATCAGCAATGTCCATAAAAAGTTAAAATAAATAACTGATAGTTTTGGCTTCATCGACAATATTTGATGAGTTTAGCGTTTTACATTTCATAACTTCGAAAGTTATTTCATACTTTCACAATCCAACTGACATTTTTATTTACGGTCTATTTTATAGTTGAATTGATGAGCCAATTGAAGCTAGACTACCATGGAGAACCTGGAAGCACTGGACGGTCGTTTCGTTCTAGTATGAGACTCCTCAGTAGTGCGTATCCAGGATGGACGGTGGCTTAATTTTGTGGATTGGTTGAAATTAGACATTAACACCATTGGATTCCGGCCAGCTCAGTAGTCTAGAGGTTAAGTGTTCTCGTGAGAGACCGATTGGTCTTGGGTTCGAATGTCGCAAGTCGGGGTCGTGGATGCGCACTATTGACGAGTCCCACACTAGAACGAAACGGCCGTCTAATGCTTCCAGGTTCTCCATAGTAGTCTAGCTTCAATTGACTTATCAATTCAACTATAAAAACTACATTTATATAAGTTTGAATGTGTTTTCTTTTCCAGTTAGGATCAAAATAGATTAATGGTTCTAATCTAACAACAACAAAAATTTTCAATTTTAAAAAGAGCAAGAACAAACATTCTAGTAGAATAGCATGAATTCATTTTTATTTCGTTGGTTCTCGTCAGCTGCTTACAACTTGTGATATTTAAGAATCATAATTACATAATCGGTTTAAATGACTTACATGAAAGAGTTTGATTAGAAGTTATATTGAAGACATATTCGTATAGTATAGCAAGAGTGTAAATAAATTTCATAGACTGAATTTTGTAAATAATATACCTTATGTAACAGAACATTGATAGGAATAAAGTGAGTAGAGTTTAGTTGATAAAATAAGATTATTAATTTGGAATAAAACTCAATGATGTGATAAGTGCAAGAAAAAGAAAAAGAAACATAATAAGATACAGCAAAAGGAATATCAGTCACTAAGGCAAGGAAAGATTAATAACTATCTCCTTTTTTAACATATAAATCAGGTTTTTGGCGTCTGATAGCAACTACTTCAACTTTTTTTTTAAATTAAGTTTATCTAAATTAAATGATAGTGGTCAAATAACAAAACTTTCAAAAGAAATTCCGAAAAAAAAATTATTTTTTTTTAGTCTACTACTAATTAACACTGATTTTATGTGTTAAATAATTTTTTTTGTTTCACATATGTAATTGGTTGACCTAAGGACATCGACAAATTTATTCATTTTTAATAAATTAGTTTCACTTGGAAACAAACAGAGAAAAAGACAAAATATGAAAATGAATGAAGAATTTAATAACTAAATATAGAACTCTAATTTTTTTTCTAAAAATATAATTATATTCTGACATAAACTAGAATACAAACCACTATTCCAGCTAAACAAGTTGGTGAAGCTTAGTATGCCCTTCTGGAGAGAAACAGGCCATATCGAAGCACAGCATAACTACTCGGGCTAGAATAGCAGTTTTTGCAATCGGTTGGAGTTTGCCCCGTAAGAAGTAATACCGTACATTACATGTGCTACTTTTGTCAATTTTTTTTTGTCGTTTTTCTATCCAAGTGTAATTGTGCTGTGATTGCTTGTGGATGTCGTAATTGGTTGGAGGGTATCGGTCGAATAGGTGATTATCCCTATCTCTACCATCCAGGTTACCGCTTACGTTAGTCCATAGGACTGAGTTTCACTATCCAAGAGGCATGACGAGGACGTGTGAGTTGGATTTTGACTCCTGGCTGAGACATTTAACCAAATTTATTTTATATTGAAGTAGTGTGAAGCTTTGGAAATGAGTATACTGACGTGTCCATGTATTCTTTCCAAATATGTTTCGTTTTATGGAACCGTCTATCCTTCTAGAAAGTAGGACATCAAGGAAAGCTATACTATTGTATTTCTCCTCTTCGTCGTTGAATTCAATAGCTGAGTGGACGTTATTGAAAAAGTTCAACATCTCTTGTTTGTCGGTATTTTCATCACATACGATTAGTGTGTTATAATAATATATTTCTACAAGGACATGCACACGCCGTTTTTATAGGCATGATCTACAAATTACATTTATTAGCTCACAGTGTGCATCCCAAGTAGGATTGTTAAATAAATATAATCTATAAAAGTGAATATTAGTTCGTTCGTACAGATGTCTTGGAGTGTTAATGATTAGGTTTATGCTTTAGTATTACACTGAGTAATCTTCAAATTATTTTCACGTGTAAGTCGGGTTTTACCTCCTAGAGTACAAACAATAGTCAATTATTTTATCTACAATGTAAAACGTTATAAATCTAATTTAAATTAAGAATGAATGATAAATTTTAGAATTTAAAGATAATAAAGTTAATTATCTAAATATTTTATGAAGTTATCCATGTTTATTATTATCAGTGAATAAACAAGAATGAAAATAAAGGTCATCAAACAATCGACAATTATTCACTTTCACTCTTCATAACATAATTGTACAAGTTATGGATATTGCATTGTATTTCATATAAAAGAATAAAATAATGACTTGTCTATTTAAGGCTTTCATTTCATTTCTTTTTTTAATATTCTTGATAGGAAGCACTTGAATCACTTACTCAAGACTTAAATCATGCTGCTACAGAAAACTTTTATTTCGGTGCAAAGTTAGTTAGAGGGGCTTATATGGATCAGGTAAATATACATCCATTTTTCTCAACCACTTTTTGTGTTTACCTTCTTTACATGCCACTATTATTGTATTTGTACTGAATTGGGATACATTGTATAGTTGTGAAGAGTAACTAGTGCAATTGACATATTGGTTTGTTATTACTATGGTTTGACATTTAGTCAACAGTTCGAACGTTCGAACCTCGTTCTTATTTGCTTCACTGTAAGCAACTGGTTGGTATCACTAGCATTCAAACCCAAATTGTGACTTAAAAACTGATTATACTAATTCGTTCCTGATAATTGAATTTGTGATTGTTACTCCTATATCAGATATTTGCCACATCTCATTACATTAAAATTAAACTGTTTATCTAATATGTTTAGTCATATTTAAGACTGTTCTACAAATATCGATCTCTCTCTCAATATTAATGTTATTGTCCTTTTACTTCTAATTGCAAACTGGAAAAGTTTGTGATAGATCTAGTTAAACAGGTGACTGTATATTATATGGTGTACATTGTACTTTTAAATATATCAGTGTATTCTATTTTACTTTCACTATCACTGGAACCAATTTACTATCAAGTGTTTGCTATGATTAAAAAACAAACAAACTGTAGGGTATACTATTTCTTTTATAACCAACTATTCATGCTCTATTAAGGGTTAAAGCATCATGTAATTATTTGAGTGAATAGTCACAGACTGGTCTCAGCTAGAGTTTCATTGGTAGCCAGGATGTACCAGACATGTGTTTCATTGTAGTATGGGACTCATCAGTAGTGTGCACTTAACCCACAATCACTGGGTCTCATTTAGTAACTATTTGAAATGGTTGGGTCGTCATGTGTAGGTGCTATAACAATTAAAGGACGAGTATTTAATGTTAAAAACTTAGCGACGTTTTCGGTTTAGTTTATTTGATACGTTTGAGTTATCCCATATTGTTATCGGTTATTTTCTCGTCCCAACATGTTAGCCATATGTTGTTCATAGTATTATAAAAAAGCATTATTTATCAGAATACACGCACATTAAAGTCTCCCCACAAGGTCGTAAGCAGATCATAGACTGAAATTAAGGTAAAGTAAAATTTGTCGAATAACTGCTAGCGATTAATATAGCTCAGAACGCCTTGATGGCAAATGGACCTTCCTCTTAGAATCATCAAAATTTGATTAATATTCCTACCAATGCTCACCAAAATGTTGATCCCTACTCAGTTTGGGTGAACTAGTTTTTTTTAATATTTTTCTTTAGAATCTACAATAAAAACCTCATGTTGCAGGCAAAAATAAAACTGACGTATCAGAGAAAACCATTAGATATACTGAATATAAGAAGACTGAAGCTCCATGTGACAACTTATTTATCAAAACCAAATAAAAGCTTACAGGATCGTTAATGGAATATGGCAACTTGAACGGATTTACATTCACACTAGGTTATACGTAGCGTTTGACTGATTGACCAATAGCTTATACATATTTATAGGCAACCAGACTGGTGGGAACAAGTGAAAGATGATCTTGGCCAGATTAATGTTGCCTATTCATTTCATTCCCCCATACACATATACACACTTGTATCTCTCTTATCGCATTACTAGCCCTTTAGAACCTATTACATTTTTCGTAAACGAAGTAGGCCAACCATATGTAAAACTTGGAAGATATAGCTGTGTCCTTGTACAAGATGTTACCGCACATCATGCAACACGTGTTCTTAGTTTTCAACTGTCTTCAATAAGATAAATATTACCATAACCTGCACTTGGTTAAGCAAAAGTAAGCTCAAAAATGTTCAAAATTACTCCATGACGCTATTGTCCCAAACACTTAAACCCCGAATATGAAAAAACTACATAGGTTGCCAGAAAAAATACCACTCTGTAATATCTAGTTATTCTTTTCAGTTATTATTCATTATATTGAAATAATCGTAAATTAAAACAAATTCCAGAATTAAATGAATACATAGTAGAAATTATCAGAATGCAAAAGAAATAACATACTGAATTATTCAATAATCTTACTCATGATCACTTATTATCATATACATCTGAAATTCTATAAAAAAGACAATCTAAATAACCTGTAGCAATCAATATATTGGATACTTACTTACTTACGCCTGTTACTCCTCGTGAAGGAGCATAGGCCGCTCACCAGCATTCTCCATCCAACCCTGTCCTTGGCAATTCTTCCCAGCTCCTTCCAGTTGTTATTCATCCTTTTCATATCTGCTTCTGTTTCAAGACGTATGGTGTTCTTTGACCTTCCTCTTTTCCACTTCCCTTCAGGATTCCAAGTTAGGGCTTGCCTCGTGATGTAGTTTGATGATTTGCGTAATGTATGTCCTATCCATTTCCATCGTCTCTTCCTAATTTCTTCTTCAGATGGAAGCTGGTTTGTTTTCTCCCAGAGAAGGCTGTTGCTGATGGTATCCAGCCAATAGATGTTGAGTATCTTGCGTAGACAACTATTTATGAATACTTATACCTTCTTGATAGTGGTGGTTGTAATTCTCCAAGTTTCAGCTCCGTACAGTAGAACTGCCTTGACGTTCGTATTGAAGATTCTCACTTTTATATTGGTTGAAAGTTGTTTTGAGTTCCATATGTTCTTGAATTGTAGGAATGCGGTCCATGCTTTGCCAATCCTCCCCTTTACATCTGGATCTGAACCTCCTTGTTCATCGATGATGCTTCTCAGGTATGTGAAGGATTCTACATCTTCCAGAGTTTCGCCATCAAGAGTGATCGGATTGCTGTTCTCCGTGTTGTATTTGAGGACCTTGGTTTTCCCCTTGTGTATGTTGAGGCCTACTGATGCAGAGTGCTGCTACACTGGCTGTCTTTATCTGCATGCGATAGGAGGTCTAAGTCATGTGCGAAGTCCAAATCGTCTAATTGATTCTGAGCTGTCCATTGGGTGCCGTGTTTTCCCTCAGATGTCGAGGTCTTCATAATCCAGTCGACCACCAGAAGAAAGAGGAAGGGAGAGAGTAGATAGCCTTGTTTGACTCCAGTCCTTACTTGGAATGCATCTGTCAGCTGTCCTTCGTGCACTACTTTGCACTGCAGTCCGTCATATGAGTTCCGTATAATGTTTACAATCTTCTCAGGAACTCCGTAGTGTCGAAGAAGTTTCCATAACGTCCTCCTATCCACGCTGTCAAATGCCTTTCCATAATCAATGAAGTTGATGTACAGTGACGAGTTTCACTCAATTGATTGGTCGACGATGATCCGTAGTGTTGCAATTTGGTCTGTGCACGACCGATTCTTACAGAATCCAGCTTGTTGATCTCGAAGTTGGGCATCTACTGCGTCTTTCATCCGATCTAGCAACACTCTGTTAGAGACTTTCCCTGGTATTGACAGTAGTGTAGTGCCTCTGTAGTTTTCACATTTGCTCAGATCTCCTTTCTTTGGAATCTTGATGAGGTGTCCTTCTTTCCAGTCCATCGGCACTTGTTTCTCCTCCCAAATCTTTTTGAATAGAAGGTGAAGTGTGTTTGTAGTTACTTCGATGTCTGACTTCAGTACTTCAGCTGGTATATGTAATGGATAGATAACTACTAAAATGATGTCGTTATTTGTATTTTAATTGGTTGGAATTTACATTTTTATTTGAACTATGAAAATGTTAAACAGTTTAATCGAATATGTACATACAACTGCAACCTTTCATTTTATAAGATAGTCCCATACAAATAAGTTAGTCAGTCAGGGAGGTTGATTATGAATACAGTGATCTTGAGTGCTGTTAGAGGTGAGGTATGAGGACGGTTATCACTTCCCGGTTGCCCACACCGTAGAAGGGTTCTTCTATCGGTCCTTGAAAAGGAAATTGTGTTAGAGGTGGTATTGGTGACCTGAGGGCGTGACCGCAGTGCCCAAGGGACAACTGCTTAAGGCCGGTCACAACCGACCATTTTGGGAGTAATTTTCGTTTCAGCTTCCTACTTGTCAAGACCTTACCGCCGGAGACGGGTATCCATGGGATAAGACGAGTTAAGCATTTTTACGGTCGAATTTTTCTACCCCACCATTGCTTGTGGAAAGGCATCATCACTGTTATGCTGGTTGTCTGAAGAAAACACCTTACTGCTGTCACACCGCTGTACAGTCAGCAGTACGACTTCGCCCTCGGACCTGTGGTTTGCAGGTTTTAGTCTTACCGCTCTTCGATCGACCTGTCTGGTATGGTAGGACCTTGAGGAGCGATTCTTCCAGCCAGTATATCTGGACTAGTTCTTTATGATAGGCAAGTTCGACCACCACATCAAAGCAGCAACAACGGTCGGGATATAAATAAGTAGTACTTTTTTAAATAAAAGAATATCTACGTTGCTTTATTCAATGTTTAGTTAATAATCATATTTTTGCGTGAGTTGTAAGCTAGGGTTTAGTTCTAGATCATTTGTTATTATTCTTCAGGGATTAAATTTTACTTGATTCCTAGTTTTCATTTCTCGTGTCACCTTCATTCAATGTATCAAAGTAATAATGCAGAAAACTCTAGAAAATCTCGTTAGTACAAGCAGACAATTAATTAATCAAATAATGAACGGAGTATTTATTTCAACTTATTAAGCTTAACTAATTTGTCATACATGAAAGAGGTTTCAACTAGTCACTCTGATTGTTCGGAATTATTCAGGCTGATAAAATCATTGTGTAGTTTAATTGCGACCAAGAAAAATATTTTTGTTATATCTCTACGAAAATAATGAATGGTAACTGTTGGGATCTATTTTTGGACTAATACTATACATATATTTTTATTGTGTAATCGTTAAGTGACTAGATTATGTTTATTCATATTCCTCTTATTACAAGCTTTATTTTGACCTGTAGACTATTATTATACGATTTACCATTCCTAAGTTATGCCCCGTTTATTAATTACATTTTCCCACAATCACAGTCAATTTTTGGCTTGATCTTGTACAAATGTTATTTCCTATTTTGTGGTACGATATGGTATGTTTGGTTTGTATATAAACCTAGTATGTTTGAAATATACGATTCATATCTCGGGGGTTGAGATTAGTGTTCCAGACTTGACAGGCAGGGAAGAGAACCAACCAGGGCGCCGGGCTGTTCGTTCAGGTGTAGGCGTCATTTGTTGGTCGTATAAATCTGCGTGTTTTAATTTTTTGCAATCATATAAGCTAAGAACATAATACTTTTGTTCCCCTACACTTTGCAACTCCTCTCTTCCTTGAATCATTCATTTTTTAGGTTCATTATGCTTACAGTAGGCACAGATACCTTAGGGTTTTTAACTAACATCAAGTCATTTATCCACGTGTTCCTTTTTCATAATAACTTTAAAGCTTCTTTATAATTCTTGTTGTAGGAGCGTGCACGTGCCAAAGAGTTAGGGTACGAAGATCCAATTTGTTCAGACTTCAACGCTACAACAGCCATGTATGAATCATGTCTAGAGGAGGTGTTTAAAGCTATTAAAAAACGCAGAAGCGGTCAAGTTAGTGTTATGATAGCTAGTCATAATGAAGATACCGTTCGATATGCTTTAAAAAAGTTAGTAGTATCTATTAGCTTAGTTTATCTCATGTCTTATTTCATAACGTTGCTCACAAAAACATTTTTACTGTTTTATTTTTTCCCATTCTAGTACCCTGTGTAGATAAGTGACTGATGAAAGCAAGTAATTATTAAATTATAAACTTAAGTGAAACAATTTTATACAAGTAGTATAAGATAATTATCTGGGTTTTTTTATATTTCTCGATTTACTTGTTGCTTTCAAACAAAATAATCACTTCAATATGTAGCAGGAATCAATGATAGTCTTAGGAAGCAGAAGAAATCTAATCAACAGACCATCAATGTAATCGGAGCATAATTTATTCACAACTAGCGAATGATAGATTTAATAGTGCAAATCTATCAATGCTGAGGTCATTCAGCTACGCTGTAAGCAACCAATCATAGGAAAGGTCATAAATATAATGAAAACAACTGTTTTAGTGGAATATCATTGATTTAATGTAATAAAGGGACACATTATTTGTGAGCAGAAGGTGGAAATGATGAACAGTTATTCGGAGTTAAGTCATTTTGGGAATGTTGTTTTGAATCTAAAGGTTGTAAAGGTCATGTATATTGCCTAACTTCATGTCAGGTCGCAGGCTGACAATGTCTCATATAATTTCCGGAACAAGATGTAGAGATTAGGAGATGTAAAATGAGTATGAATCAACTAAGCCTATCGTCCACAACCATACTTATCAGTGGTATTTTCCATTGTTTACCCTATTCCAGCCATGAAGGATGGTGAAATCTTCTTGGGAAGTCAACTTGATTATCTGGATAATGTTTTTATTAACTCGAGCGGCAAATATACCGGAGGGAGATGTATGTTTTCAGTGGGTAACTGTATGTTAAGCCCCAAAAACTAAGTTGTTAGAATTTATTATTGTTTAGTAAGTGGGATGGATCCGCAGCTCTGGATTTTCTGCAAATTCGCATTACATGCACACTATAGCAAACAATATAAATGCCGTGATTATGAGGTTGACATGGTCTTCACTCTCATTTTCGATATTCGCTACTTCGTATTAAAATTCCGGTTGATTTGGAGCAAGTACATATTATATGTACACCTGAAATACACAAGTCAATGATATATGTACTGCAAAGCGTACATTTTTTGTACAAGTATACAATGATATGCACATATGAAACAAGCCAAATCTATATATGCTTTCTATAGCGTATACATAGGTATAAATTCTGAGCACCCATTCATCCGTCACGAGTTAAACATGGGCTTAGTTCAGAAATTCTGTCGAATAGTTAATGTGATGGGAATAGAAGAAAATATTATTCAGGTCAATATTGTTTTGGGATCACTTTATTATGAACTTCGTTTAATATGACAAGTTTGGACTTTCTTTTTCACTCTGTATCATGGGGATAGTTTTGGCTTCCGTTAACCAGTATAAGCAGTAGAATGGAATAACTAGTAAATCCCAGTTGTCCTGTAAAAACAGTAAGACCGCGGACCCAACAGAGTTCACCCAGATATAACGGCGATGACTCTCCATATATGACACTTAGAGATCCGGATACAACAGTAATGAAATAGGCTGTTCTTCCTTGATTGTTCATTTCAGTTCATTGAACACAGTCCCACCATTACCGGACCATTGGGAGAACGTATAGGTTGAATTTCGCTTTAGATCCCCTTGCTTAATATTTTTGCACCTTTTGAAATATTTTTCTTTAAATATGAAGTGCTATAAAAAATAAGCATGCAATTTATATTAATAGTTTATATCGGTGCGATAAGGCATAACTTCAGTAATATTGACTTTTCAAAATATGGTGTATATAGTGTTTAACCTTTATTTGGTGTTCAAAGTTAAATGAATTCTTAGAATCCATCATACAAGTTAATTAATTTCTTAACAGTTGTAATATGGTTTAAAGTGTTCAGTGTAAGTTAAAACATCCTCAACACATCAGATAAATGAAGACAATTCAATCAGCCTTAACTAAATCGTATCTGTTAGTGGTAACTACCTGATTGAAGTCATGATCAGTGGTCGAGGATTTTGTGTTACGTGACTCTGAATGGGTTACTGTGAAGCAAATACAAGACTTATTATCTTCCTTTAAATCTCGGATTTCAATATTTCTTTATGCGCTCATTATTAGAATTTGTATTTTTCAATGCGTGGGAAAGCATAACAACGTTGTGTTTTTCCTGATGTTTCGCTATATGATGCTAATTGTTTTATCAAAAGTCTCAGTTAATATATAAGAACCCAATCAAATTTCTTTGATATGAAACAATTTTATGTTGTCTAGTGAATGAAATAATAAGGATAACAAACATGTATACTAGAAGGGGTTTTTTGTGGATATTATAGTAATCTTAATAGTTGAGATCATGAGCCCATTGAAGCTAGATCACTATGGAAAACCTGGAAGCAGTGGATGGCCGTTTCGTCCTATTGTGGTATATATAATTTGATTTGAACAATGTGTGAATTCTAAAAACAACATGCGTTAATGTAGTGATTTTTTTTAAAAAAAATACAATTATATTGACAATGTTAGGTTACTTTAAGTGATGAGAGTGTTGGAGCAAGATCAAACCATTTTTTTAAAATCCTCATTCTTATTCAAATGATTTGAATTTCATTTTATGTGAAGTGTTACTGTTATGAGACGTTCTTTGTGAGTTTCGTGATTTCTCTTAACAACTTCATTACTATAAATATCAATCTTGCGGTCTGGTATTAAAGCGAGTAAAGATATGCTCAGAGATTATTTTTGAAGTTCTGTTGAATTTCCCATTAGTCGAACAGAGAAGTTCTATGATGTCCATTTCTTCTGATCTTGATTTTTCAAGAAGCTTGTCCAATTTATACTCCGTCTCAGTCTGGACATTTTATTTCTATATAAGATTAGATGATGAATCCTTCGGTATTTTCTCTTTTACATCAACTGCGTTGCTTTGTGGTCCTAAAGAATACCCTGATATTATAAGTGTTGAATATTCTGACTTGGTCTGATGTGTATAGTCTGTATAAAACGACAATTGTTGTAGTTGATGATTTCGGAGTGTTTTTTTCGAAAAAGTTCCATATTGTTTCCTATTTTTTGGACGAGTTTTTTTGGATAGTAGTTTATTCTTAGAATTTTGTTAAAATTCCCTAGTTCCTCTTTCTTTCGTTGTTGTTTATTATCAACTCGTCTGTCTTTCATAAAATACTATAAACAACTGATACCTTTGCACTAATAGGATGTGAGAATCTTTGGTTACCATTTATTATCAGTAGTATTTTAAAAGATGATAATTCTTGAAGCGAGCTTGTGGATCTAGCGGCCCATTATTATTATTATTATCATATAATCTAAAGATCATTTACCTAATAACTTCTCTTTGATTATCATTTTAAGCATTTTATTTCTTTATTCTCCGTTTGTTGAATAATTGAATAAATGAATCTTTAAGTCGGCTGTAGCATAATAACGAAAACTCAATGATTGAAATGAAATGGTGAAGTTGTGTTTTTTTGTAAATAACCCGCAAATGGTTAGAGATATTATAATAAGAGGGGAATTTTACCCAGGGAAAACACTCTTTTCTCATAGAAACCAGTCATTTTTTAATGAAATGAAAAGATATTAACATTTTCATATGTCACTATGTAAATACATCAGTTTGTTATAATTCACATTTTTTTCTACATAGAATGCATGAATATAATGTAGCACGGGAAGATCGACTTATTTGTTTTGGTCAATTGCTTGGGATGTGTGATCAGATTAGTTTCACATTAAGTAAGTTAATCATTTTTTTTGTTTTGATTAAGATCATAAACCGATTGATGTTAGACCACCTTTAGAAACCTGGAAGCACTGGACGGCCATTTCGTCCTATTATGGGACTCCTCAGCAGTGCGCAACCACGATCCCGCTTGCGGGATTCGAACCCAGGGCCTTCGGTCTCGCGCGCAAACGCTTAACCTACTGGACCACTGAGTCGGCATCCAATGGTGATAGTGTCTAACATCGACCAATCTACGAAGTTCCGCGACCAACTTCCATTGTACTGAGGTAGATACCTGTCTCTACCCGACATGGATTAGCTCCACTGATCACGGCTTCTCACTAGAACTCCGAGAATTCCCTCACGAAGCTAGTCACTAGTCAGCACATGTTGATAAAAAAACAAACTTAATAATCTCCACAACCCCTATACTAGTAAGTTAATCATTATTTAAGACTTCAACAAGTTACGTACAAATGAATTTCATCTTTTTATTTCAATGTTAAATGAATTCTGAATGTATAAGAGTAACATTTATATGTTGATGATTTGATTATCATAATTAATTTATAATTGAAACTATTGTCAACATTTTGGTGATTATATTAATCGATTATTTTCATTACCATTTACCTGTTAAAAACCGACCATTTCTGGTACATTTGATTGATTTTTGTAACGAGGCTTATCAGAGTGAATCAATATATAATGTACAACCAAAATGGATCAAAAGAATAGTTTTGTAAATTTTAAGTAGTATTTTCTAAGTAAATGTGGATTATTGTGTTCGTTTTTAAACGAAATCAAATCAATTATATCTGTCGTGAGTTCGATCCCTTATGTGATCTTGGATGTGTACTGTTGAGCAGTTCTATCCTTAAAAGAAACAACTATCTTATGCTTCATAATTTTTAGTGATTCACCAATTGAAGTTAGTTGGTCATGAAAACGATTTTTTGTATAGAATCATTTTTGCTGTATACTTTAATTATTTCATATTTCAATGGGAGTTATACCTTTTTCTCAATATACGTTTGATATTACTTTTCTCGAAATTATATTCTTTTTTTAAAACATTAAAGGTCAAGCTGGCTACTCTGTATACAAATATGTTCCATATGGTCCTGTTGAAGAAGTTTTACCATATCTATCTAGACGTGCATTAGAAAATGGTTCCGTGTTAAATTGTACACTTAGAGAACGTCAGCTTTTATGGTCTGAATTGAAAAGACGTTTGTCGAATGGGCAATTCATTTATAAACCATAGATTAACTTATAAACAGGTGTGTGTGTGTGTGTAGAATTTTGTTTTAATTTTGATTGTTCTACTTTGCTTCACTTATTCTTTTCTTACTTATTTCCTTGATCTTTCACATCTTTCTATTTATAGTTATGTGTTAAAATGTATGTATTCGCTTGTGTAGTTAGTATATATTGTTCCTTGCACACTTATATTGTTGTATGAAACAAAAACAATTTTCTACTACTGTTCATTTTCTGCTTTCTGTGAATCCCTTCTATTCTTTTCACAAAGTTCGAACTTTTCAACCAATGTCTTTGGTTCATTTCTGTTTTACATTGAAGCAATCAACTTCAATGATCTCACAGCTTCTATCGAATAATAAATATGTTGTAACTAACTTTATTATACTGGTGAGTCAATCAGAATCAAGATGTAAATTTTTAGTTTTTGCTCAAAATAAAAAAGCAAGTCATGACAGCAATATCTGTACGAATAAATTTGCAGAATAAACCTTTATTTAGATATAAAATCGCTTACAACTATTAAGAGAACGCTTTGTATGGCTTCATACAGTAAAAAGAATATGAAACTAAAGCGAACTCTAATTAATTCCGAGCTGTCCATTGTATTCAGTGCTTCCCCTCGGATCTGCAGGCCTTCATAATCCAGTTGACCACCAGAAGAAAGATGAGAGTAAGCAGCGTTCTCTGGCTTTGGTTTTCACATGGAATGCATCTGTCAGCTATTTTCCATGCATGACGTTGCACTGTAGTCTGTCGTATGAATGCCGTATCATATTGACGATCTTCCCAGCTACCCATTCTATAATATCGAAGACGGTTCTTCTATCCACACTTTCAAACGCTTCATCATAGTCAAGAAATTTGATGTGAAGTGACGAGTTCCATTCAATTTAGTGTTCAACAGTGATTTGTAGTTTCGCGGTTCGGTTTGTGCACGAACAATTCTTACGGAACCCAGCCTGTTGATCTCTAAGTTGGGCGTCTATCGAATGTTTCATCCGGTTCAACAACACAATTGAAGACGTTTCCTAGTGGTGTGATGTCTCTACAGTTTCCAATTTTTTTCAGATCTCCTTTCTTTGGTATCCAGATGAGATATCATTCATTCCAGTTTGTGGGCACTTGTTCTTCCTCTCAAATCTTCCTGAATAGAACATGGAGCATGTTTGCAGGTACTTCTGTCTGTGACTTTAGTGCTTCGGCTGATAAATTTTCAGGCGTAACTTTTCCCACTCTTGATTTTTTTGGTGGCTATCTTGATCTCTTCGATCGTTGGTTGAGTAGCATTGTTAGGAATGTCTGTAGGTGCTATTTCGGCGTTCGGTAGACTCAGTGGATCTGACCTATTCGAGAGTTCCTCAAAGTATTCTGCCCACCTGTCCCTCTGTTCTTGAATTTAAGTGATCGTATCACTTTCTTTGTCTAGACTTCTTTCGCCTTCATCGTTCGCCCTGGATTACTATGTTTCCCTGCCAGTTTTTTCGTCGTGCATCATAGTTATTTCGTATGTCCTTCCGTTGCAGCTTTTTTTCGCTGCCGATGCTAGGTCTTTCACATATTCTTGCTTGTCGGCCCTAATGATTTTCTTCACTTGCTTGTTCTTCTTTGTGTATTGAGCTTGTGCCTCGACTTCTTTGTTCTGGTTTGACTGTCGATAATTGCTGTCTTCTTGTTCTTCCAGTATTGAATCATGAATCTTGCTTGTTGCGGCCCAGAAGTTCTTCACATGTGAAAGTTAGTGCTTCTCTGACCCCTTTCCAATTGTCTTCTTGTTGTTTGTTCTTCCTTCAGTAGATTCTGTCAGGCTTGTACCCTGTTGTTAGGAATTATCTTGGATTGATTGTGTTTGTGAGGAATGCTGTATTGAACATTTGTAGTGCTGTCTTCCGAGTTGTCCATTGCTTCTTTAGCTTCAGTTTCATGTTGGCAATTACCAGCTGGTGGTGATCTTTGGCTATGTCGGCTCTTCTCCTTGTTCTCACGTTTTCCTCCTGACCCTCCAAATTTTTTTAATTGTGCACATATGGTCGATGTAGTTCTGTGTGAATCACTCGATGAGACCGGAGTAGCTTTGTGTATGCGACTGTGCGAGAATATTGTGCTGCGTATAATCATTTTGATGAGTGGGAATTTCTCACCATTCCTTTTCTTTGCCACAGTCAGTCCTTGTTCTCTCGTGATATTTTTTGACGCCATTTACAGCAGTCATTGATGTTGATGAGTTCGAAACTTTCATGGCCTGATTTATGACCCTAGTTGGGTCATTTGATTGGCTGTTATTGGAATATACGTATCGTCAATTCTCGTATAAAATTATCGGCTTAATTCGCGTTTGTGAATAACGTGTATGGTGATGGATTTTTGAATACGAATATTTTCTATGCTCATTGATCTGAACTGACAATCAGAGGAACGAAGCGAAGATAAATGAGCTTGTGGGTCAACTCAGATTAGTCATGCTTTAATAGATATTTATGGTCAGGTGGAAAGACGTTACAGAGTTTGACCAATAACATGAGAAGTGCGCACATATGCGGTAGCAATGGAAAAGTCAGCTTGATAAGCGCATAATTAACAAGGTCAAAATAAGGAAAATCTAATAAATTGATTTGTCCGGAAGCTAGAATATGCTTTGTAGACTTGACATAGCAACCGACACCACAATATCTTCATATTTGTTGTTGTCCATTCCGAATTTGGCGTTTAGTTCTTTCACTAAGATTGTCAAGTTTTTTTCCAATACACTTCTCTATTATCCACTAAAATGTCTCACCTGACCGAAGCTGCTACCTTGACGCGGTGGTCGGGCTTGCCTATCGTGATGACCCAACCGAGCTATATTGGCTGAAACATATGTTCCTGTAGGTTCTACCATGCCAGGCAGGTCGATTGGTGAACGGTAAGACTAAAAGCAGCAACTCAAGGTCTGAGGGTGAAGTCGTACTGCTGACTGTAGAGAGGTGTGACAGCAGTAAGGTGTTTCCCTCGGACAACCAGCATGACAGCGATGCTGCCTTCCTACAAGGAGGGGTGTGGTTAGGAAAGGTCGACCCTAAAAAATGTCACACCTCACCTTACCTCACGGATTTCCGTCTCCGGCGGTAAGGCCCTTTCAAGAACGGAGCTAACACGTCAAAAACCTTCCACAAAAAGGCCGTGCGAGACCGGCCTCAAGCAGTTGTCCCTTGGGCTCTGCGATCACGCTCCCAGGTCGTCAAGACCAACACTAATCCAATTTCCTTTTCAGGTTCCTCAAGAAATACCCTTCCACGGTGTGGGCAGCTGGGAAGTGACATCAGCCCTCATACCCGTAACAGCACACGAGACCAAGTTGGTCACATTCAAATCCTTCCTACACCTCCTGATACCTCTCTTATCTCCATGACTGACCCTCCTCACGTCTCTTTATCACCTCGCACCGCTAGGGCAAACGATTCGAGTATGCAGAACGTTATTCCTGATCTCCTGAAACCACGCTCTAACCTACACGTAGGAGCTTTTAACGTACGAACACTTTGTCAAATGGGACAGCAGGCTTCCTTAGCTAGGACTTTAGAATCTCGCGCCATCGATGTGTGCTGCGTTTCCGAAACGCGCACACAGAGTCGGAGAAGCGTCATTCACTTGACCTCACCACGCCAAAATAAAGAACCGACTCGATTTACGCTTCGTGTATCTGGAAGCCCTGATTCTGCTTCCCGTGGCCTCGCCGGCGTAGGTATAGCATTGAGTCCTAGGGCAGAACTAGCTCTCTTAGAGTGGATCCCAGTAGACAGTCGTTTGTGCGCTGTCCGACTGAACGGAACAGTAAGAATCCGGAAAGATAGGGACACTCATCGTTGCCTCTTCGTCGTCTCTGCCTATTCTCCCACTGACTGCAGCTCAGATGATGTCAAAGATGAGTTTTACAGAAAGGGGTTGAACTTCTACCGGGAGGTTCACTTGTTGACTTAGAATATGCAGATGACATAGTTTTATTTGGTGAAGACTGACATAATGCAGAGTCTTCTGACCACTCTAAGCAACAATGCAAGCATGTTCGGCATGCGATTCTCTCCCTCGAAATGCAAAATGTTGCTTCAGGATTGGGTTACATCGACACCCGAACTAGTGATAGGGAGTGAAGTAGTTGAGTGTGTCGACCGCTTCACTTATCTTGGAAGTCTCATCAGCTCTTGTGGTCTGGTGTGTGACGAAATCTCAGCACGGATACAGAAGGCTCGACTAGCTTGCTTTTGCCAAATTGCGTCATTTATGGCATAGGCGAGATATCCGTCTATCAAGCAAAGGACGGGTTTACTGCACAGCAATTCGTCCCCTCCTACTTTGTGGCAGTGAAACATGGCCGGTAAGAGTAGGTATTCGTAGGTTACTAGTATTTGATCATAGGTGTCTTCGAAACATTGCTCGTATATCATGGGACCATCGAGTATGTAACACAGTTGTTAGGAAACGGGTACTAGGTAAGGATGGCAAATCAATTGATGACGTAGTAAAAATTCATCAGTTGAGATGGCTGGAACACGTGTTACGTATGCCCAACGACCGACTGCCTCGACGTGCTATGTTCAGTGGTATAGGAGTAGGTTGGAAGAAAGCTAGAGGCGGCCAAACCAAAACATGGCACAAGTCCATGAAGTCATTGACAAGTGGACTGAGTCATGTTGGTAGGTGTAGACTACCTGGTTGGGGACTGCGAGATGATAGCAACCGATGGTTAGAGACCCTGAATGACATGGCTCAAAATCGTTTGCAATGGCGCAGGTGCATCCACTCTCCATGTTCTCCCAAATTCTAATCTTCTGAATTCTTCATGTCCCTTTTTTCCTCTTTCCAAATTTATTTCACTGGATTATACTCGTTAAATAACATCTCCAAACCCTAATCTTCCCGATTACTGCTTATACTCTTATTACCTCTGCCACTATGGGATTTGAATCGACCACTGCATCTCTTTGCTAATGTGGTGTGGCAGCTCGAACTGACGTACGTACGTACGTCAGTTCTACGTGGTTACTGACTGACTGACTGACTGACTGATCTTTGCCGTCTTCATTGCCATCGTTGATGAGTGCATAACATTGATTGTGATTTGCTCCTTATTTGTACAGAATGATGCTTTGATGACTCTGGATCCATCAGTTTCCCATACTATGAGTGTATTACGTGCTTCTTTGAACAGCATCAGAGCAACTCCCTGAGTGTGTAGAACACTGTTTTTCGTGGAATACAGCACCATCTCTCCTGAATGTAATTTTTTCACCCATCTAGGATCCAATGTGTTTCAATGATTTCGAGCACTGTCGAGTTTTATGTCCTCGTTCCGTATCTATTTGATTAGTCCCCTCGGTATCCCACGTTGTGTAGCAATTCCATGTACCTATGTTAATTAATGCTGTGGTTGTTAGAAGGGTCATCGGCCTCTTGACTTCCAAAGAATCTCGGCTTTTATCGCGAAGTGTCATGATTGTTCCTTTAACTCGTAGGGCAGAGTTTAAATTGCTT